CCCAGCCTGACTCAGTGTATCCCAACAGCGACCTCCCTCCAGTCCTCACCTCGCCCAGGCTCTGACACCTTTCCCTCTTGGTTTAAGAGTAAGAGGCAGAATATTCCTCAGGCCAGGGTTCAAAGGTGTTTCTGGTAGCCCTGTGAGAGGGAGACGAGCCTCCCTTTATCAGTCTGGAGAAAGGGAGGCTCAGGGGGGACCTTCTCACTCTCAACTCCCTGACAGGAAGGCGGAGCCAGGTAGGGACCGTCCCAGGGAACAAGGGACATGACAAGAAGAAATGGCCTCAAGTTTCACCTGAGGAAGCTTGGAAATATTGGGAAAATTTCTTCAGAGAAAGGGCTGTCAGGCCCTGGCACAACTGCTCAGGGCAGTGGTGGGGTCCCTAATCCTGGGGGGATTTAAAAGCCCTCTGGATATGGCACTTGGGGACGTGAATTAGTGGTGGCCTTGGCAGTGCTGCAGGAACATTTAGAATTGGTCATCTTAGAAGGCTTTTCCAAGCTAAAGTATTCCATGATTGTATGTGTTGGATCTTTAGGTTGATCCCTCACCCACGGCACAAACTGGAGCCCAGATGACAGCTCCCCTATAGAGGGGATCTCTTCCCACCCTTCACCCTCCTACGTGAGAAACTTTCCTGAATGTCCACCCCTGATCCCACAGCAGCTGTCCCAGTAACATGGGCTGGCCCCTGCCCAGCTGAAGCCCGAGCTGGCTCCTCTCCCTGCCTATCCTGCTCAGGGTGTGCTGCCAGGTCCCCCAGGAGGATCAGGAGATGGGACACAGTCCAAGAAATGCCAGCCAACACCCAGCCCTTCCCCTGGGCCTGGTGCTCAGCCACGGGAACAATGTTCCTGCAGGGAAACCCCATCTTGTGTCCCTGCTGTCCTGCCCACGGCCACGCTGCCACACTCTGCCAAGCCAGGCTCCTTTGGGCACGGCCACACAGAGCCCTGCTGGTGCCTGGAGAGCCCCTGGCTCCCTGCAGTGCCAGTGTGGCAGCAGGGCAGAGGGCTGGGGCTATTTATAGCATATTCCGATAGCTGCCTTATCTCATCTCGGGCTCAGGCGCTCGCACACGTGCTGCCAGGGTGGGCACAGCCTGGGGGCACACGGGGAGGCACAGGCTGCCTCAGCCACGTGGGCTGGGCCCTCTGGCTCTGGGCACACGTGTTGTCAGGGGACTGGTGGATTTGGAAGCTTTGGGAGCAAGGGGTGCCCCCTCCAAGGGTTGCTGGATCCGTGCCATGGGCACGTGGCCGGTGGTGTTTGTGGCACAGGGTGGGACAGAAGTGTGGGTGATGCTGGGAGTGTCCCCAGGTGTTCCACCCTTCCTGGGTGGCTTGAGGACAAAGAAGAGCTTGGTGCCTGTGGCTCAGTAGGAACCAGGAGAGGAAGGAGGTTTTGCTAGGTTGTCTGCTTTGCTCAGCATCCTCAGGACAGACTTGCACTTGGGGGAGAGGCCACACCAGGCACATCTGCTGGGCTTGAGGACAAGGGGAGACAAGGCCTTGCCCAGGATTAATCATAGAATTATGGAATGATTTGGAAAGGACCTTAAAGCTTACCCAGTTCCACCCTCTGCCATGGACAGGGACACCTTCCCCTAATCCCAGGCTGCTCTAAGACCCATACAGCCTGGCCTTGGACACTTCCAGGGATACAGGGGCAGCCACAGCTTCTCTGGGCAACCTGAGCCAGGGCCTCCCCACCCTCCCAGGGAAGAATTTCCACAGCTTCTCTGGGCAACCTGAGCCAGGGCCTCCCCACCCTCACAGGGAAGAATTTCTTCCTAAATCCCATTGAACCCTGCCCTTTCTCACTGCAAGGCCATTTCCCTGTGCCTTGTCACTCCAGACCCTCATCCAAAGTCTCTCCAGCTCTCTTGGATCTCCTTTAGCCACTGGAAGGGGCTCTAAGTTCTCCCCAGAACTATCTGTTCTCCACCCCAGAGCAGCAGTGCTTCCAACCAAGGGCAGCCTGGCACTGCCACATGGCAAAACCTCACAGAAAGCCACTGCTCTAGGAAAGAAAACTACTTGGACAGCCGAACTGCTCCTATGCCAGAGCTGAGCAGCCCAAGCAGAGCCAGGCTCTCTGGAGGGATGAGCTTGAGGCTCGTCTGAGCTTGAGCTGAGAGCGAGCAGCCACAGGGTGGCTGGAGAGAGCCGCTGTGATGGAGCTGCCGCCATCCCCGCCCGGCCGGCAG